GTCCCCCCCGTCTCCCTGTCCCCCCCATGACGGGGACCCGAGTGACACGGCTTGTGGGGAGTGGCCACGACACTCTGAGCGGCCGGGGACCCCGAGGCCAGTGGGGACAGGGTTCCAGGGTGACACTCCCACGGGGGGCTGGGAGAGGCCCAGGGACGCCCCGGAGGGGACTGTCACCGCGACCGTCTCCCAGCACGCGCCTTTATGTCCATTTTCTTGACACAGAGTCTCGCTGTGTCGCCCACATCGTCTCTCTCCCCGTCCTCGGCCTGGGACCAGACTCGGACTCTCAGCGTGGCCCTTGGAGCAGACACGCCAGGCCGGGCGCGGAGGCTCACGCCTGTCATCCCAGCACTGTGGGAGGCCGAGGCGGGAGGATCGCTCGAGCTCAGGAGGTCGAGGCCAGGCTGAACAAGAGCGAGACCCCGTCTCTACTAAAAATAATAGAAAATAAATGAGCTGGACGACTAAAAATATATTGAAAAAATGAGCCGGGCGTGGAGGCGCACACCTGGAGTCCCAGCCACTCTGGAGGGAGGCTGAGGCAGGAGGATCGCTCAAGGTCAGGAGGTGGAGGCCAGCCTCAGCAAGAGCCAGACCCCGTCTCTACTAAAAATAGAAAAAAATTAATTGGACAAAAAAAAAACAAAAATGAATAGAAAAAACGAGCCAGGCATGGTGGCGCGTGCCTGTGGTCCCAGCTACTCAGAAGGGAGGCCGAGGCAGGAGGATCACTTGAGGCCAGGAGTCGGAGGCTGCTGTGAGCGAGGCTGACGCCACGGCGCTCACTCCAGCCCGGGCGACAGGGCGAGACTCCGTCTCAAGAAAATGAACACAGACGCGTGCTGGCAGGTGCGCAGAGACCGGAGAGGGCCGCCCTCCCCCGCCCGTGGTGGAGCCGGCCCAGCTCGCGTCCCCACCCGGACAGGACAGGACGCCGCTGCGGGGGCAACCTCAGACACAGAGGCGGACAGGGGGCGGGCAGGGGTGCGAGCAGGGGTGCGGGCAGGGGTGCGAGCAGGGGTGCGGGCAGGGGTGCGGGCAGCGGTGCGGGCAGGGGTGCGGGCAGGGGCGGCGAAGCAGGGCTACGGTGAGGCGGGACAAGGGTGCAGGCAGGGGTGTGTGGTGGCGGGGCAGGGGGGCAGGCAGGCAGGACCAGAGGGCAGGGGTAGGACGGCGGCAGGGGTGCAGTGGCAAGGCAGGGGTGCAGGCAGGGAGCAGCGGGGCCGGGGTGCAGCGGCGGGGCAGGGGTAGGGACACTCAGGGACAGGCGGGGCAGGGGTGAGGACACTCAGACAGCAGGGCAGGGGTGGGGACACTCAGGGACAGGCGGGGCAGGGGTGGGGACACTCAGGGACAGGCGGGGCAGGGGTGAGGACACTCAG